GAGGAGGGGGAAAATTATGAGGTTCGTTAGAAGAAACTACGGTGAATCATAGTCAAAACCTGCAAGTTTTTCAGTGGTTTTTAAAAACGGATGGTTCGTGTCAGTGTGATGTGGGCGGTTAACATCATGTTCTTTCAAAAAAAAATCTTAGAAAGTTATAGAATAAGCTTCACCAAAAGATAATGGGTTAATAAGGACATCACCATTTATATGACTTGTTGAATTATTACTATGGAGTATCATGGCATTTTCATTGACTCATAACTTTCCACCATGGTGATAAAAGCATAACGAGTTCACACCTGAGTCAAATTTGATACATGGTGATTTGAGAGTACTATTACTCTTCTAACCATCTACTCATGGGTTAAAATTAACAATTTATTATTATTTTTATTGGTAAAATTAACAATTTATTATTATTTGAACTCACCGTTTGGCGGGCCGGAAACGGTGAGTTCAATAATTGAGTGGGCAATGGCGGAAATGATGCGTAGCCCTGATACCTTCGCACGGCTTCAGCAGGAGCTGGCTGACGTGGTGGGGCTCGATCGCATGGTGGATGACTCAGACCTCGACAAGCTCCCCTTCCTGGGATGCATCGTCAAAGAGACATTCCGCATGCATCCGCCCATCCCGACGCTCCTCTACGAGGCTGCCAAAGACTGTGAACTCGGCATCAACTCGGTTCCCAGAGGCTCACAAATCATAATCAATGTGTGGGCAATCAATCGCCACCGCGAGGCCTGGAAGGACGGCGACACCTTCCGGCCGATGCGGTTCATGCCAGGTGAGGGGGACGTTGCCGGGCGGGACCTCAAGGGTGTCTCCTTCGAGTTCCTGCCATTCGGGTCTGGACGACGCTCGTGCCCGGCGCAGGGACTCGGTCACCACGCGGTGCAATTGGCCATCGCGTACCTCGCACACGGGTTCAGCTGGAAGCTACCCGACGGCATGAGTCCAATAGAGCTTGACATGGGCGACATAGCCGGCATGACTGGGCCACGTGCCGTGCGCTTCTACGCCGTGCCCACCTCCCGACTCAACTGCTCATTTTAAATTGTGGCGTCGCCGTTTGATCAGACGTACCATCGGTACCTGGTAACTATTGCGAGTTTTTCTTTTCAAAGTTCTCATAACTTCTACTAGTATCTCCCGCAAAAGAAACTGCTACTCCCTACATTCCTAAATATAAGTCTTTTTAGATATTCCACTACGGACTACATACGAAGCAAAATGAGTGAATCTATACTCTAAAGTATGTTTATATACATCCGTATGTAGTCCGTAGTGGAATCTCTAAAAAGACTTATATTTTGGGACGGAGGGAGTATCTTTTTTAGATGGAAACAATGTAAAAAACTGTATTACTATGTTCTTGTCCTGTCATTGTGCACCGTATGCAACTGTCTGGTTGGTTTTGTAATTCAACTCTTAAGTAATTGTGTGTGATGTGCTAGGCCAATATTCCCGTGTACTATGTGCATGCGTGACCATTTCGGAATTCGACCACAAACATGCTAGTGTGTGATGTACTATGTGAATTATGATCTTGCTATCCACATGTCTCATGCGGTTGTCTGAGATATGCTAAGCCCACCTTGTAAACTCCATTGAATCCCTAACCAACCTGGCCACCATCCTCTCTCTCCCCTCGCCTTCCCTAAAGTTTCGCATACCATCCATCAAATCAATGTACCAAATCGTGGCATTGTTACCACACTTGTCAAGTTTGTCGACTTGAGCAAAGGTCACATAGATGAGGCATACATTGTATCCATGTTTGGGCCCCTCCGGCGTGGGTAAAGAACCCTATGTCATGCCTTCTACTCTTCTATTATCTCGAGTGTTACAGTTTGTAGTGGAAACAAATCTAGATGAATCCCCTCATGATGAGGTTGTGTTGATGAGGAAGAGGAATTACTACTAGGGTATGTCTAGGGCACATCTAGATGTGCCCTAGTTATCACACATCTAAGTGGCTCAATAAATCTAGAAAGAAAAGGAAAAAGAACAAAAGAAAATGCTTGCACGAATTTTAGCGTAAAATTAATGACATAGGACTTAGATGTGCAATACTTAGAGCACATCTAGATGTGTTTTAGCAAAACTGTTACTACTATATTTTTGTTGTTCTAAGTTTGAACTATTTACTTTTTCTCGTTCATAGTGTGTTGCAGTGCTTGTGAGATCATCAAGTAGAGTTGTTATTTTTGACAATTTTGTATTTGAACTGTAATAAAACTGTGGAAACGTATCAAGGAAGCAGTCCTGATCGTTTGTGTTATTAGTTCATTGAGAAATCAAAATGGTGGGAGATCCCTTAATTCGAGGGGGAAAACTAATCTAGACATGATCTAAACTAAAAATGATGATGAATCACCTTGGGACCAAGATGTCTTGAATGGACAATGCAATATATGAGTTGCTGATGCTTTGTCGTGGCCTTTGGATCTTTATATATGCCCGTGTCTTGTGCTTTAAAGCTTCATCCTTTTCTTGTTAGGCGTGCAGACTGTTCTGATCTAACAAAATAAATATTGTTTAAATCTCTTTAAGTTTAAGCTCCAAATTTCTTCCAATACTTCCATTCCAGTGATGGAATTCATGAGGAACTCAATAAGGTTTAGACACAATAATGTTGGCGCGAGGAGGGGGAAACGGAAGTACTAGATGGTTTAGCGGAACCTTTTTTTCATATCAAACATCACTACAATCAGATGACCATATTTGGTATGAGACAACTCACCACTGGGGCTGCATGACAAGCTCTGAGGCTCGTGAGCCATTCGAGATTGACTTGTGCTTTGGCTTGACTCGTGATTGACTTTAATAGAAAAAGTGTCTTATGTAGCTCAACGGACAAACGAGTTGATCTTAAGCCAACACTGGCTTGCATGATTTTTGCTCGATAGCTTAGCATAATTTGAATATGTCAAATGATCATTTTGTATATTAAAAGTAAATAGGTTAATTTTATTATCATATATGTTATGTATGTGATTTTGCTTCATTTTATGTACAAGCAAACGTAGAAAGTTAATAAACGTGAAGCAAATTTATGCCTTAATATGGTACGTGCTCAGCCATGTGAGAAATATAATTTGTGGCCAAAGGTCAATAGTAGATTGTACTTTCTTACATTTTCTTATGTTACTGTGCTCTATCTAGTTGGGAAAATGGTCTAAAATCATGGAATCTTTATCATCTATTAGCCCGAAAATAGCTCGAGATCGTTACAAGGTGAGTACGAACCATTCCTACGGCTCAACTTTGAACTTCACTTAATTTGACCTCTTTTGAATTTTAGCACGAGATGAGCATAGATCAACTCTCTCAAACTCGACTCATTTGCAGTCCTGCGCACCATCCTCCCGGTGGTTTGGTTTTGTGAAACCTTATTTGCTCCCCTAGGGACCTGAACTTTATATTTAAAGCCGGTTGGAAGTCTTTTAGCAAAAGAATAATGAAGGCACGAAGAGTAAAATTAGGGGAGCCTGAGACGCCACGGGCAACCATTTGTTCGTTCAGCGGTCACACCCCACGCGACACACGAGAATGTCTAAAAAACTAGCTTGAGACGCAAGTCACAACGACCACGCTCGCGGCGCCCGTATGAGAAAAGCCGCTCCTGCCGACTGCTGTGTGTGTTCACGGCACAGTGAAGCCGCGCCCAAACTAGGCGAGAGACACCACCGTCTGCGGCCGTCATGGACACCTTCTTCCTATCGCACGGCGGCCCCACGCTCTGCGTCGACGAGACGATCCCGGCATGGAGCTTCTTCAAGTCCTGGCTGCCCGCGGCGGTGGCTGGCACGCAGCCGCCGCGCGCCATCCTGGTGGTATCGGCCCACTGGGAGACGGCCATGCCGGCGGTCAACGTCGTTCCCGGCATCAACGACACCATCCACGACTTCTACGGGTTTCCCGAGTCCATGTACCAGGTCTGCGCTCTCTGTTGCATCTTGCATGCAAATTGGTACTCCCTTGAGTTTTTCTTTACTTTTTTGAGAAAGTTTTTTCTTCACCTTTTGGGAATCTATATATGACGATTTGTCTACTCACACAACGGTGCAAAGTACTCACCCCTATCGTACAGAATGCTTATTTTCTAGAGTGGTTTTCGGTTTTTACCGCCTATTTTGACATTTTTACACTAATTATCTCATTTAACGGGATTTCATCCGTTTTATCCAATTTAGCAAAAGCTCTGCCACAATTTACTCTGTTTAAAATTTGTAAGTGTTCTGACGGGTTGGTCCGATATAATCGCACCAGAGCAGGTAGCTCGCGTCCAACGCACAATGCCAGAGTCGGGACCGCACCACTCTGGCCTCCAATATTCACGGCACGCGTCGCTCGCCTTCTTTCAAATCACACACACGATCCTTCCGCAAACCAAGAAATAAAAGAATTTCAACAATATTCAAAATGTTGTAAAAAACTTTAAATTAATGTACCTCAGTAGAAGGGTGATATGTATACACGTGATCTTCTAATAAGCATCTTAATTCCGTCCGAATCAAACGCCTCACTGGCAAATGCACAAATTGCTATGATAGAGATGGTCAAAATCATGTGAAATGGAGTACGACCGAGAGGAGAATGGTTTTTCTACCATGCACGGGATTTCCCATGCATGAATAGTGTTTTTAGGCCCCACTATTTATGACTTACTACACCATATGGCCCTACCTAGAGTCTTTCTCTTCTCATGTTAACCCATGCATTTTAAGTTGAGTCAGAAATTTTAAAACCATGTATCCTTTGAATGAAAATTTTGATTTCTGTTCTGTTAACATATTTGGGATCTTGGTAAGAAGATCTTTTAAACAAGATCAATCATGAATATATTTCCACAACTTTTTGAATATTAATTTTGAAACTTGATGAAACCATAGAATATAAAACCCATCAAACTACAACATTTACATGGAACGAGTTTCGCAAACAATCATAGAGTTTCGGACCATGTTTCATGGAGTCTCACCATCTTTTGTATGGTTTCATCATGTTTCAAAAATCAAAATTTAAAAATTATCAAAATATATTCAAGAGTGATCTTGTTTAAAAGTCCTCGTCACCAGGAATATAAATACGTAAATGAAAGTTAAATCGGTCTTTCGATTCATAAGATAAAATGATTTCAGACTTTGAAATCACAAGAAATATCATGGGTGTGTGGTGGGTTTCATGTGAGATAGTAGGTGCATGGACCATGTAATTAAGTGATATGACATGACTAGATGGGTGAAATACAGCTTGAAGAAGAGTGCATGCATCCAAATCTCCATCTATATCCAAGGGCTCGCTCATGCACGGGACCTCCCATGCATGGGAGAATTGCTTTTCTCCGACCGAGAGGGCTTGTTTGTTCACCAACCTCACTAATTTGTTGGATCAGCAGTCACCATAGATCTGCCATCAATTGAGCAGATCCTGATTGGGTCCCTGCTATGTCGCCAAAGTAGGAAGAACAACTGACCACAGCCTGATGGGGTCACGTACATGGACGTGCCCATGCCGACGTCAACGAGCTTGACGGAGACGGATTCCGGGGGGTTGTTTATTGCCTTGATATCGCAGCCATACAACGCTACTCGAGGAGGTATGAAATCGCGCCGCAGCCGCTGCCTGACAATCCCTAACCCTAAGTTCGGGAGAGCCTGATGGGTACATGCGGTCAGAACCCTGGACGGGCGATGCAATCGATTGGGGGTGAGTGTGGCACATGGCCGACTCAGGCGTTATGCGTTGGATGTGACACGAGCGAGCTCCATCTGGTTGGCCCGATCGGGAGAAGCTGCGAGGACCGGCCAGCAGAGAGAAAAATAGACAGGTAAACCGTCGATGTGGCATGCCAGCTGGACCTCACAATTAGGACCTGCCAGTCAGCACGCTCACAAAATTTTAAACAGGGTAAATCGTGAAAGAACTTTTGCTAAATGGGGTAAAACGGATGAAATCTTACTAAATGGGATAATTAATGTTAAAATAGGGGGTAAAACCGGAATTCACTCTATTGTCTACTGTCACATTCCCCCATAAAAGGGGGAAAT